ATGAAATGATTGGATTGAATAGTGATCAACAATTTTACCTTTTGTACTTGCTGCACAAGAGCAGATATTGCTTTCTCAAGGCAAACTGTCTCAGTTTTCACCACAACAGAGATTGCTACTGCTGCTGCAATCTCAGAGTGCTTGAATTCCAAGAAGTGAATTCCTACATTCAATTTTCACCCACCTAAAAGTTTCAGTAACAATCTTCCATTTTCACCAATTCAATCATAGATAGAATGATCTCAATCAAGATCAACTTCACCTTTTAGTGTTCTTAATATAACTTTTACTGCTTTAGTGATTAAAGATCTTGAAGCAATTTGATCACCATTTATCTTCTTAATGAAATAATCAATGAATGTGAATGGAGTGATTGCATGCATTCTCCATTTCAATGTGCTTAATATAAGAAGCTCCATTCTTTGTATGGTTCTTGCTTCAAATACAAATCTTGCTTCCTTTGTCTGTCAATAATCATTACAAATTCAAAACAATTATTAGATCAGTACCAAATTAATAAATCAAGGTATTCAAACTTAATTTGCTGTCTTCGCGTAACAGGTAAAGTTGTTGCCATGCATGTGACCAGGAGGTCACTGACAGCATCTTGCAAAAATACAGGGTAAGGCTGCATACAATAGACTCTTGTGGTCCGGTCCGTCTCTTCCCCGGACCCCGGGGGAGCTTAGTGCACTGGACTGCCCTTTTTATTCAAACTTAATTTGATGTAAATGTTCACCTGCAGATCTAGAGATAGAGGAACTATAGTCTCTTCCATTTTAGCTGCCAGAGACAAACAGGCTATAGCCAATAACTGAATCATCCATACTTTTCCCTTCTATAAAACAAGCAAATATTATTAGAAATGTGATTAAATAAAACTAAATATAAAATTTTGATGATCAAAAACTTACAGGTAAGTCATAGGCAGAAAGAAACCTATCAAGGTAGTTCACAGACAAATATAAACAGAGTGGCCCAAAATTGAAATGTGAATGAACCTGCATGCAATAACAATATATAATCAAATATTTTACAATATGAAACTTTAGTTTTACCAGTCAAGCAAAACAAGACAAGAATAAATGTGAAAATTCAGTCAAAGACAGCTTAGAATTGAATGAAGTAGGAAAAAGCTGAAGTATATATATATATATATAGAAACATATTTAACGTACCAAATTTACCTGACAATTCAACCAAAAAAAAACAAAAAGATCCTACCAAACGTTCATTTCACTTTTCTTGTAAATAATAAATATACAGTGAATGCTTTTACAGTATAAAGTAAAAGCCAAGAATTATATCATCATATCCCTCCCACCCCCTTCAAGCCCATCTTTCCTACAAATTACAATACCAAAATACAAAATCTAACCTAGCTCCTCGATTATTCTATTTTTTTTATAAGGATCTCCTCGATTATTCTACTGGATACATGCTATCAGAATCGGATCTACCATGTTAGCTACACGTTAACGTGAATCCAGTAGCTTTTGCCTATATATATCAAGAAATTCATTAAATATCTACTACAAGCATTTGACTGTAGATCTAGTTATTATTTTGTATATATATAAACTTGAGATCATCGTAAAAAACTCATAAACTTCAGATCCTGAATCTGCTTCCGCTTCTACCTCCCAGAAATAGCTTTGCCTCCGGTATCAACCACCCCTTTTGAAACAAGAAAATACATTATGTAAATTTTCATTCACTATTCACTACCGATCTAAACTTGAAAGTGAGATCTAGTTAACTAAAGTAAATAATAATCAGTAATTAAAAAATCGCAGTAATCATCCAAGATCTGAATTATATATACTCTAATGGATTAATAAAAGACGAACAAACCTTGCCAATCCAATCAAGAATCTGCTCTCTAATCTCAATATCCAACTTCCCATTTCTCAATTTGTCAAGGTAATCACCACAAGGCATATGTTGATTCTCTTTCTCAATCATTAAATTCACACAATCTTCACTCTGTAATAGCATAACAGCCACAAATGTCTCCTCCCCCAAAAAACTATGGTTTTCTTGACTGCTTTGATTATTCTTAACATACCATTTTCCAACATCATCGTTATTGTCATTGCAAAATATGATATTGTTATCTTCAGCACAAAGAAGGCTAGAAATTGCAGAATTCATACTGGCTGCCATTGAAATAAATACCTTATAGATCGTATGTGTATATATATATAAATATGTAAATACTATCACCCTCAAAACAAGTATATTTAATGTATGTAAATCGATCTCTAGTTTAATGAGACATTGCAAATAAACAGAAAGATGAATTTCTAGTAGAAATAACAATGAAAAAATGGTAATAAAAGAGTAGAAAATGAAGCAGTGGAGTTCGTTTGGTGATAGAACTGTGAAGAGATATAGCGGCAATAACAAAGGGTGTCCTTTATATAGGATTTTAGAGAGAGAAATATGGGGTGGGGTTTAAGTGCGTGGGTGGGTGGGTGAGAGGTTTATTTGAATTTTTATTTTATTTTAAATCAGTAATGCAAGAGGAGAAATTAAATGGGGTTGGAAGATAGAGAAATGAAGACAGGGACCAACGTATATCTATAGGTATGAGTACCCAAAATCAATAGCTTTTACTTGGATCGTACATTGCGTTAAAAATTTGCTCAACAAATATAAATAATTAATTTCCAACAAAGTCAATTAAATGAGTTAGTGGTACGTTTCTGAAGTCCTGAATTTACCTCTACATGAAGAAGTAAAAAACATAAAATTAAAGAGAAATTTGTTTAGACATTTATGTCATATAGCTAAAGTAATATTTGCAATAAATTACAAAAATAATAGCATAAATATTTATTGTATATATTGAATTATAGTTAATATTTTTACTCATAAATCTTTAACTTATTTTGTGAGTGAAATTTATGTCCCAGTAAAAGGAGCGGATGATGCCAACCAACTCGATAAAGATATTTAGATATAAAAAGATAAAGAAAAATGTGTTAAGCTAGTATTTTACGATCAACTCGCTCCCGAAGACTAATTTTCAAATACTCTTTTCTTGCTTCAACTTAAAATAAATTTCTTAGTTTAAATCATATATCTATCTATTTATATCTATCTATCTATGTCTATACTATATTAAAAGTATGAAGGCCCTTAGTGAAATGTCGTTCGCATTTTCTACCCTTTTAAAATAGAATTCACATTGGACAAAATAGTCCTTTGGATTATTCTCCTAATATTTAGAATTAGTCATTTAATTAATTTCCTACTATTTAGGAATAGTCATTTAATTATATAAGTCTAAGCTAAATAAAAGAATAATATCTTTCCAAAAAGGAATCGAAATAGTTTTCAATTATACCTTATTACAAAAGGAAATTCTAACTGACAAAATCTCAGTAGAGATTCACACTAAATCGACATTGCATGTGACTGAGAAGAAGAAGAAGAAGATGAGTAGGAGAAGAGAGTAGCTAAGAGAAGAAGAGACAATTTTGTTATTTCTACTGTAAAGGTCGGTGCAGTGTAACTTCCTTTAATACAAGACCTCTCACCCGAGACACATGTGTGATGAGGGTAAAAAGACTAAAATACCCCTAAGGTAAAAAGACTAAAATACCCACAACTATCAAGTATCACTAACTGATTATTCAACACTCCCCCTCAAGCTGGAGGTTAGAACACATCCAACACTCCAAGCTTGGAAACTAAGGAATGATGTTGAGCTGCAGACAATCCTTTAGTGAGAAAATCTGCAAGTTGCATTGTTGAACTAACATGATGTGGTGTGAGGAGCCCAGACTTGATCTTCTGTCTTACAAAGTGACAATCTATTTCAATGTGCTTAGTCCGCTCATGGAAAATTGGATTTTATGCAATTTGAATGGCTGCCTTGTTGTCACAAAACAGTTTGACTGGTTTGGAAATAGTCATCTTCAATTCCTCTAGGAGCCCTGATAGCCAGGCAACTTCTGTTGTCACTGCTGCCATGCTTCTATATTCTGCTTCTGCTGAACTTCTACTGACTGTTTGCTGCTTTTTTGATTTCCGTGAGATTAAAGAGCTCCCTAACTTGACAATATAACCTGTCCCGGATCTCCTAGTATTAGGACAGGCTGCCCAATCTGCATCATAGTAGGCAGTCAAAGTGTCAATTGGCTTTGTCTGCAGAAGAACTCCTAAACCTGGTGCTCCTTTTATGTATTTAACCACCCTCAAAGCCGCATCCATGTGAGATGTTTTGGGTTTTGCATGAACTGACTCAATGTTTGTAATGCAAAACTAATGTCAGGTCGTGTAATTGTCAAATACAAGAGCTTTCCAATCAACCTTTGGTATGAAGTAATGTCCTTTAAGTCTGGATCTCCTCTCCTTCCCACATGAGCATCAAACTCAATTGTGGTGAGTTTTTGATTCATCTCTAGAGGTGTTGAAACAGGTTTGGAACCACTCATACCAACACTTGAGATCAACTCAAGTGCATACTTCCTCTGATTCAGTAAAATTCCCTTTTTTTATCTGAGCACCTCAATTCCAAGGAAGTATCTTAGCTCACCCAGATCTTTCACCTTGAATTGACTCTGCAGTGTCCTTTTAGCATCATTAACTAGTTTGGAACTGCTCCCAGTAATTAGCAAATCATCCACATAAACAAGTATAATGACCAAATTTGAACCTTCCCTTTTACGGAACAATGAATGGTCATAATTGCTCTGCAGATAGCCATGTATTACTAATGCCTCTGTTAGCTTAATGTTCCATTGTCTTGATGCTTGTTTCAGCCCATAGAGTGACTTCAACAATCTACATACTTTCTTCTCCCCCTGTTTATGCAACCCCTGTGGTAGTCCCATATATACTTCTTTATATAAGTCCCCTTGTAAAAAAGCATTATTCACATCCATTTGATACAAATCCCATCCTTTGGCTGCAGCAATGCTAATGATGGTTCTAATAGTTACCATCTTTGCTACTGGAGAGAATGTCTCATGGTAGTCCAACCACTCTTTCTAATTGTATCGCTTTGCTACTAACCTGGCCTTGAACCTTTCTAACTCTCCATTTGCTTTATGCTTTATTTTATAAACCCATTTTGATCCAATAGCCTGCTTTCCTGGTGGCAAGTCTACCAGTTCCCATGTGTTATTCTCTTCTAGTGCAGTTATCTCCTGTTGCATTGCCTCAATCCACCTGTCATATTGTGCTACCTCCTTAAAAGAGCTAGGCTCAACGTATGCTGAGAAAGCCTTTAAGTATGATTGATATCCTGTAGTGAGGTTAACATATGAGAGTCCTTGAGAGATAGGATAAGTTGTTTCCTGTGAATTTCCCTGGTGCCACATAGTCCTTCATCCATATAGGTGGTCTAGATGTTCTTACTGATTTTCTAACATTCATCTCTTCTTCTGCTGGTGAGGTTTCTTCAGTTTCCTCAACTATATTTGCAGCTAAGGAATCTGAACTCATGCTGGTGTCTGCTTCTTCCCGATTCAGTGGTTGCAACTGATCTATACTCTCCTCATTCAATTCCTTATGCAAATGCTCTTGTGGTGCTGTGTGTGTAATATTTGGAGGTATGTTTTCAATTTGTGTGGGATGAGTTTGAATATCAATATGTGTTAATGCAGGAGGATCTTGTGGGAATATATCTTCTAAATCTGAAGCCATTCCTTTGAAAGGAAATACCTGTTCTCTAAACACAACATCTCTGCTTACTAGAAATGTTCTATTCTCCAAATCATATAGTCTGTAACCTTTCTGAGTCTCTAAATAGCCTATCAGAACAACTCTCCTTGCTCTTGGTGCAAACTTGTCTCCTCTAGGTAGAGTGCTTGCAAAACATAAACATCCAAAGACCTTAAGATGGTCAATTCTTGATGTCTTCTTATAGAGCATCTCATAAGGTGACTTTCCTGATAAAACAGAAGTTGGCCATTTGTTTATCAAGTAAACTGATGTCCTAATACAGTCACCCCAGAATCTATTTGGTAATGAGCTCTGAAATTTCAATGCTCTGGCTACCTCCAATATATTGCTTGTGTTTTCTCTCTACCACCCCATTCTGTTGGGGTGTGTATGGACAACTGCTTTGATGCACTATCCTCAATGAACTCATTAATTCATTACACTTAGAGTTAAAGAATTCAGTGTCATTGTCTGACCTTAATTTCTTTACATTCAGATTAAACTGGTTGTGTACCATAGCAAAAAAATCCTTTAGCACTACAAACACTTCACACTTTGACTGCAGTAAACTTACCCAAGTATATATGCTAAAATCATCAACTAGTGTTACAAAGTAATGTTTCTTATCATATGTTGGTATCCTGTGAGGACCCCAAAAATTTACAAGTACTACTTGGAAAATTTGTTCTGTTTTATTGCTACTATGCTGAAATGGAAGTCTATTCTGCTTGGCCAAATGACACACTTCACAGTTGTGTTGTATCCTGGCATCTACCTTATTCTTTAGCAGAGGGATATGTTGCATTGCAACAGCTGAAGGATGACCCAGCCTGAGATGCCATAGTGCTGATTCGTCCTGCACTTGCACAACATTGCCTGCTATAACTGGAAATTCCTTACTGATTTCCTTTTTCAACAAGTATAAGCCATTGTGTTCTTTACCAATCCCCAGAACCTTCCCACTGTAGAGACCCTGAAACACACAAAAATGTGGGAAAAATGCAGCACAACAAGATAGCTCCTTAGTCAGTTTAGACACTGACATTAGATTGAATTTAAAATCAGGCACATGTAGAACATCTTTCAGTATCAATTCATCTAACATCTTCACATTCCCTGTATGTTCTACATTACATTTCCCCCTGTAGGTACTTGTACAGCACTATTATTCTGATTTTTAATCTTTCTTATATTATCTAGTACTTCCTTATGAGGTGTAACATGATGTGAAGCACCAGTGTCAATTATCCAATCATAGTCAAATGCTTTGGACAAAAAAAAAGGTATACCTGTCATTAAGGTATGACATTCACCTAGTTCAGGATCTGGTTTGTTTATAAGGTTCAGCAATTGTTTGTACTGTTCTTCTATAAAAAGATGCCCTTGCATCTGAGAATTGGTGTCAGAACTTCCTCCTTCTCTTGTTGATACATTAGCATATCCCTTTACTCCAGTGTTCTGAGGCTTCCTTTTACTTTTGAAGTCTGGTGGATAGCCTATGATCTTATAGCAATTTTCCTTCAAGCGACCTTTATACCCACAGTAGTCACATATGAGGCCTGGTTTCTTTGCAGCCTTGAAGCCTTGCCCTCTTCCAGCTAGCATAGTTAAAGGTTCCTTATCTGAACCAGCTATACTAAGTGTACGTTGACTTTCTTCTTGAACTGCTAGTGCATAAGCTTGATTTACAGTCAATACAGGTGTTTTCAGAAGAATTTGACTTCTCACATGACTGTAACTCTCGTTCAAACCAACAAGGAATTGTAACAAACACAGGTTTTTGAACTGATCCAGAAAAGGTCTAGTTTCCTCATAGTCACACCCTGCTCCTGGTACCATCAGATCCATTTCATCCCACAAATCTTTCATTTTAGTATAGTAAGTTATTATAGAATCTGTTCCTTGTCTTAGGGTTCCTATTGTTAACCACAAATGATAGAACCTAGTAAGATTTGATTTGTTAAATCGCTCTTTAAATTCATTCCATACCTTTCTCGCATCAGATGCATAGATGATACTAGGTTGTAATTCTGCAGAAACAGTGTGACCGATCCACGAAAGCACTACAACATTGCATCGTTCCCATTGATGCCCTAATGGACCTCTGTAAGAGCTTTTCAAGCATGTTCCGTCGATGAACCCTAGCTTATTCTTCACCAACAATGCCATCCTCATCGATCTGCTCCATAATGCATAATTCTCAGGTCCTGTGAGCTTGATGTCGATCAGTGTTATCCCAAGCGTGTCTGTTTGTTGCAAAAACAACGAGTGATTGTGATCAATTTGCAGATTTTCAGTTTCCGCCATGACAGACCAGCTCAAGCTTCAACAATGGCTGTCAATTTGGAATTTTGAAATCCTTGATCTAGCTTCAAATTGCCCGCTCTGATACCATGACAAAATCTCAGTAGAGATTCACACTAAATTGACATTGCATGTGATTGAGAAGAAGAAGATGAGTAGGAGAAGAGAGTAGCTAAGAGAAGAAGAGACAATTCTGTTATTTCTACTGTAAAGGTCGGTGTAGTGTAACTTCCTTTAATACAAGACCTCTCACACGAGACACATGTGTGATGAGGGAAAAAAGACTAAAATACCCTTAAGGTAAAAAGACTAAAATACCCCCAACTATCCAGTATCACTAACAGATTATTCAACACTAACTGTTGTTATGGGAAACTTTTCGGCAATTTTGCTGATTATCAAACAAAAGTAGGAACTTTTCTTTTACCCTTTTTATTTACATTATAAATTGTAAAAAACTTTTCGGCGAACTTTTAGATTATCAAACAATTCGGAACTTTTCTTTTACCCCTATTTATTTGTATTTTGGATTGTAGAAATGTTATGATTCTACTTTAAATACAATTTAATTTATTCTTGTAAAGTGGCAAGTTCGTTTAATTTCTTTAGATCTCTACAATATTATTTTTAATAAGAACTTATATTCAAAACAAAGAATATAATAACTAAAATAATTATTTGTGTATGAACACTGACATTTCATCTTACACTTCAATTACGTACTATATCTTCAAAATAATATACATCTAAATTAATAAAATTAATTTATAATGAATAATAGGTCAAACTAAAGCATATTCTTTGTATGAAAATTGAAGTTGGACATAAATTTGTGATATTTGAAAAACAAATATTTAAAGTTAAGTTCAGAAAGGTATTTGAAAATCATGTTTACCTTTTTAAGTTGTTTCCTAAAATATTTAAAGGTTATAGACTGTTGTAAGCAATGTTAACACAAGTTTCTTTCTTTATAAAATTAGCTAAACGAAATCAACATTCTTTACTTTAAGGAACTTATACTATTTTCTTTAATTTTTATTTTATAATTCAAGATACTTTTTAAAAAATGTTTATGTGATTTTAAAAAGTTTTTACTCATGACATGGAATACACACAACACGCGTACAAAGCCCTTCAAAAAATCATTCGTTTTTTATACCCCTTTAAAATAGAGTTTCTAATGGACAAAATAGCCATTATCATCTTATTATTTTTCTAATAATTAGGAGTTTCAATAAAAATTTAACTATTAAATATTTTTTTAATTTAAATTATATAAAAACTACTAATATTAGGAAATTAAATATTTCCATAACTATAATATTCTTAGCATATTGTAGAAGAAGAAATCATAATTGGGCGTTCGTGACTTCTTTAGAAGTCCTTGTTTTCATAAAATAGGAATTATTTCAAAGAAAAATAAAATAATCCGTAGTCTTTATTCTCATAATAATAAAAAATTAAAATTGAACAACTAAATTGGGGTAGAAAAAGTAATAAATATTTCTGGCATAATAAAAAAAGGTTTAATTTGAGCACCGAAGTTAGCTGCCAAGCATTTTTTTTTCTACTGATTAAGATAATATACACGCGTTGCATCATAAGATTAGTATCTATACTATATTAAAAGCACGAAGGCCCTATAGAAATGTCGTTCGCCTTTTTTACCCTTCGTAAGTGCATTATATATTGGATATAATTGTAATTATAATAACTATTTTTTTGGGAGAAAAAATAAAATTGTTGTGTACCTACTTAGAGTTTACATTGTTTGGGATTCTTTGGTTTTTGTTTCCTTTAGCTTTAGGATTCTTAAGATTCTTTTTTTTTTTAGTTATGGTATTTTTCTTTCGTTGTCCCTTTTTGTACTGGTCTATTGTTCCTTTTGTGTCTATTTAGGATTCAATTTCTATGGTCTCTTTGGTGTAGGTTTAGTATGCAATATTTAAATTGGTTTAGTTATTTTTTATTTTTTGTATTTATATTTCAAATTATTTTTCGCTATTTATATTTAGTCACGATTATTAAATTATAGTAAAACTTTTTACTGA